CTGATCATTTTGCATTTTTGTTCAACCCGGCCGTTAAAATGTCAACGAGTAGTAATTTTGGGGATTTTTTTTTTCAAAACTTCGCCGAAACAAGCTGATGAGATACAAAAACAGTGGATATTTAGAACGAGGTTGAGGACGTAGTAAAATAAATATGACAGAGATGCTTTTGACAACCTTACCGTAAAGGAAAAAAATCAAAAAAATACTCAAGGAGCTGCTCCATTTTCAATGAACCATGAGAGACCATTGTCTGTGTTTGGAAATTTTGCTACTAAAATTCATTCTCGCAAGGAAATTAATTCAATATTCTTTACAGTCATTTTTTCGTTATCAGAATTAATGGTAAGGATGCAAGTTTGAATGAATAAATAAGGTTTTCCGGTTTTTTCAACAAATAAATATTTATTCCTCAAAACTCTTGGATACCGGTAATATACCAAAATACCGGTACTCACAAAAGGAGTCAGGTACTGCCAACCCTAGGCGTGTATGAGATCAACAAGCTTGCAACACAGAGGTGCTCCGCGTTCTGACTATAAGTATTAGAAATATCATCAAAATGAGCAGTTTTAAAATGTTCTAGACAAATAATCCTCGTGTTACTTTCTGCAAATAGTTCAAGATCAATAAAAAAGCAGCATGTTTCGATCCTGCATATTATTACCTGAACGGGTTTTAAAAAACTAAGATGGTCTAGAATTAATTATATTGTCGAGCAGTTTTGGGACGACCTTCTACCAGCGATTTTACTGAAATGAAACAATCAATTCTAGATTTTTCAAGCATTTTACAAATAAGACCCTATTTTCTCGAGGTTGTAGAAGAACAAATATTAAAATATTGTTCCACGTTAAAGTTCGAGTGGTAGAAAATGTCATTTTAAACTGCTCGAATGATGTGATCGATTGGTGGCCTTAATATCCTTTAACCGGCCAGCCAACTCTTTTAATATTCTTGACAACGTAAAAATGGCCGTAAAATGTCACAATAGCCTTGAAATCCACAACATAACCTGAACCTGTTGAATAGCCCTGAAATTAAACTATCTAAAGCCCAGAAAATGCCACAACAATCTTAAAAACGCTCAAATACCATTAATCACAAAAATGTCATTGAAATTCTTAAATAATTTAGAAAAGCTAAAATATTCAACAATATAAACACTTAAATTAGTGTCAGAAAATTTCAATGTTCAAATTTCTTTAACTTTTGCTAATTTTAAATTATTTGATAGCCCTGGTAAAACAAAATGAAAATACTGCTCAATTTGGATTGCCCCAACATAATTTTAATTTCAGATATAGTTACCAAAAATTGCTAATTTCTTACCTATAAACCTGAATATTTTACTAACCACATCTTTGATACACACACCGGAAAAAGTAAATGCTTTGCAAATTTATGAATTTAGTTTTGAATTTGCTAGAATTAAAAATAGATAAAAATGCAAATTTTAATTTCTGGGGTGAAGTTGATCATGCAGATTTTTATACAATGCAATACAAAAATTGAGTCAGCATTTAAACTTGATTGATGCTCGCTGAAGAAGAATGGACTGATATTTTTTTAACAAAAGTTGTGGTTTGCGAAAAAATACATATTTTGTCTCAAAATAGTAAAAAAAAAGCCTAAATGTAGCCAATTAATATTCTCTTTTAGCTGCACTTTTCATATGGAATTCTCGATTAATCAAAGTGAATTTAGTTGCTGATTAGACAAAATTGACTCACAAATTGAGCTTCATTGGATTCTGAGATGATTATGACCTTCACTGGTTTAGTTTTGTATGCAAATGGCACGTTAAAAAAAAACTTTTTAAGTGCCCATCTTGCGATGTACACCGTGATCAATAAGTTTGGATACACTTTAAACATGCATTAAAATAACGCAGAAGCTATATTTTAAGTATCCTTGAATATTTTATTGACAGTATTCGTTATGTAGATTAACTACAGGTCTACAACTACAAGGTCTGATGCCATTTTACGTAATGAACGTTACCCTTAGCGCCGGATTCGCTCCCTTACGATTATAATGTTTTACTGCGTCCGTACCGAACGTGGACGACAGGACCTTTTCCTGTCCTCCAAAGAGGACGTCTCCTTGTACCTATTGATGGTCTTTTAAATAATGTTGTAACCGAATATATTGATCACGGTTTAAAGACGGTTGGTAGTAAACATAATTGCAAAATTTCATTCAAATCAAACATGGCCATTTTTTTTAAACGACTTTAAATTTTTTTAAATCGATTTATTCAGTATAGGTCTCAAACGATTTTTTCTCAAATGATAGTCTAGATAAATTTTAGAAAAACTAAGTATGCCATAAGCCACTTTTTATTTAGTTAAGGTATTTTGACATTGAAATTTGATAGGGTGCTGCCACCTCCGATACAATTTGACGCGCATCAATTGCACTATTTTTTTTTGTCCTGTGACCGAACATCAGTTTTTTTTATTGGGGTTTCTTTGATAATACTTGATGAATGTAGATAAACATGCGTGAACTACAAACAATTTAGTTCGAGAAATATTAAACATTGAATGAACATATAATCAGAAACAGCATAAGCAATAAAAAGACAACGGGGCTTATTACGGATGTCACTTCACGGTGAAAACTTGTCACTTGTCGTCACGGTGAAGTGATTCCCATTTGTTTTGTACGGCAATCACGGCTCTTATTCTGAGTATCACTTCCTTATCACCGTGTAGTGACACCCGTAATAAGGCCCAACATTGAATTTGTAATGGCTGCATGTGAAATACATTTAATAAGTGATTGTTTGAGTGCCCTTTCAAGCAGGCAAGAACAAGTAAATTGTTTTTTTTTATGAAATTTAGAAAATATTTAAAACATGCTACATAAAACCGAAGACAACAAATCAAGAAGACTGGGAACTTTGTCAGAATCCAAGCGACAGATACAATTGCACTGCACTTGAGTGAAGGTGGAAGCAACGCATAGAAAAATGAGCAAATACACAAACCCTTCTTCTGAGGATGTAATCTTTGCTATCAAATTTGTTCGAAGCATTTACCTTTTAGTGGCAGATGACGCGATTGTACCTGTCTCATAGCGTTCGTATGAGAAAATGGAAGAGTTGCCAGTCTTCTTTATTTGTTGTCTTTGATAAAACTCTATACGATATCAAAGGTAATACCCTCAGTTGCAAAATGGAACCAATGTTTCCAATTCGGAAATAGTGCAGAGAGTAAATTTAATCATTATATTCTACTATGAAAGTTACCCGCATGATCAAAGATACCCCGTTTACTGTACACGTTTTTGCCTTTTTGTACAAAACAAATGGCCAATAAGCAGTTTAAATGTTTGTTTTCAAAGGTACAAGTCGATTTTAGACAAACATATTCGGCCAAGTACAAAGGGGTCAAATATTGATTTTAATACTATTAAAAATGACCAATGCAACTAAGCGCAGCCAAATGTGGTTTGAACTCGGATAAACCACTTTTTTCAAGTTAAAACAATCTGTTTTTCGGATAATATTGTATACTTTTGATGATCGAGAACAACCACTGTATACCGCATTTGAATTCTTTAAATTTAAACTATCAGGATCATCTTAAAACATAGGAGAAAAAAAACTATTCCACATGGATAAAAGTGAGATTGAACTACCTATTTGTATTGTCTTGTGACCGCACATCAGTTTTACCCTTCTCACAAAGAAGGGTATAGATATCACTTGAAAAACCGACTATCGATCCGAGGCCCGGAGGGCCGAGTGTCATATACCATTCGACTCAGCTTGACGAGATCGGAACATGTGTGTGTGTGTGTTTACGTGTGTATATGTGTATGTGTGTGTGTATGTAACGAAATGAATGCGCTCACGTTTCTCAGCAACCGCTCAACCGATTTGGACAAACTCGGCGCCAAATGATAGGTCTTGGGGTCCCATTGAACGCTATTGAACAGTTTTGGAATCGGTGAACCGGTTCCGGAGATATGGCCGGTATAAGATCCGGTGAATATGGGCCTTCACGCTGGATTTAACGGAAAACGTATCAAAACCATCATGCGACAGATCAAATTACTACAGAATTCAAAAATAAGATCAATGCAAGTCGTGTTAAGTGTTCCAGACCACATTGGACACACTTGGACATGTTCCGGGTACCCCGTTGAAGTTGCTTGAATATGAATTGAATTAAAACCCATTAAATCACATTAAAATACGATGATAAGGTGATTGATAGCCTCACCAAATAGACCACACCCGGATATATTCCGGGTACCCCCAGGCAGTGACGTAGCGTCACTGGATGACACGGGGGTGGGGGGCTTGGTCACTGATAATGACAATAAAATAAATAAACTTGAATAAGTAAGAAGGGTCTGATCACACCATAGGTGGATAAATTCGGGTTTTTGTTTTGGGGTTACTTTGATTTTTCAAACATCGGCAATTTTCCGATTCTATTGCCTGTACTTTGGTAAGCATATGCTTTAGGGAACTGATTTTTTGTTGGAGTTTCTCCGTTGAATAGTTCTCAATTATTAGTAACCTGAATCCGCATAATACACTAGGTTATGAAAGTCATCTGTATATGTCCTGTGTGATTTTGAAATTAGTGCTATTTTTTAAGTGCTCAGGATTATCATTGAAATTTTCGATCATATGAAAGAAATTATCTGAATGTATTCTTTGGAGTTGACATTTAAGATTCCAATACCGGAACAATTCTGTTATAACAGTTGTATAACCAAATTTTTAATGGATTTAAGCAAAATAAATTAAATTAAAAGCATAAAATATATAACTTAATTATTTCATAGATTCAATAACATTGCAATTTTATCTAAATAATAAAATAATCAAAGGAAATTGATTTTATAATTATGATTAAGTGTTTCTAAATGCCTTCGGTTGGGAAGCAATCAGCAATGTTGAAATAAAAACGCGTTCTCTAAAATTGAAGGCCAAAATAAAAAAAAATAGAACCAGAAAAGTTTTCAAATTAAATTACCTGTTGATGTGAGTTGAATTGGAAAATCGTAATCCAGACAAATCTCGGTTACAGCTCTCAGAAAAATTTCATTCTAAACGTGACCAGTTGTTGCACACAGTAGAAAGCACTACACAGGATTATATGAATTCAAATTAAATGCAATTTCACCGACATTGTATCATCTAAAATACTCTAGACACTTTATTCACTATATCTAGCGTTGGCTGTTCTTATGTATGTACATTCCCAGAATAGTTGTTCTGCAAATATTTCGAATCCTTATTCCGGCAGCACCATATGCTACAGCAATCTTGCTGTATTACTTCTGCCATTGGAAGCACTCACTACGAACTATTATTTTCCTCACGCTCAGCTGTTGACGCCGGCAGCAATCAGAAAACCGGTAAGGAACGAGAAAATCAAAATTCAATGAAACTCAACATCGAAATTTAGCATACGAAAAAGCTATTAAACTTTCAAATACGAACAACAAAACTTTGAACAAACGAAAAAACTCTACTCAAATGAAAACTGTGGCAGGAACACAGAAAATTCCGAGTGCTCAGTGTCCAGGTTCGAAGATCAGTTCAAATAAGAAAAGCAACTAGCGAGAAACTTTAAATGATGACATAACAATTTCTCGTCCGTTTTCTGGATCACTCCCACGTTCCAAATCGCTAATGTCAAGGCTTTTCTGGTATATGCGTATCACAAGACTAAGTAATTTATGCGAACTCGAATCGTTCTCTTTGTCTTGTCGACAGAACATATTCCTTTTCGTGTCACCGTGAAACATCCAACATAAAACCAAAGGGACTCATAACATTGGATCATTTGATACCAGGATGGCTGTTTTCCAATTTGCTATTGCTTTCGTCGCATAGTAGCTACTTTCAGTTCACATCAAAATGTTATGACTCACTACATACACATGATGTCAAAGCAACTAGCAAAATAAAATAAAAACACACACACACACACACACACACACCAACCACTATGGAGCCTTGTTTGTCCCGGAGGCCTGATACGTGTTATCCAATCGGTGGTTCAACGATAACTGACAATGTCTGAAACCACCATCAACCGCTCAGTGTAATGCGTATCCTTTCGGCAACCCCCCAGTTCGCAATTTTCCTTCGACCACCCTACTAGAAATTATGACTCACGTGCAATTCCAGGAATGCTGCCCACGAGACCAACGACAATCAGCACAGACTATCAATCTACTGACCCTGTCATTGTGGCGTCAGGGTACTTTAAATTAAAACATTAATATAGGTAGAATTCATCGTCCTTGCCGGGACGTGATTTGAATTCGACTTCTGTTGTTTCCGAAAGAGTAGACTAATTGTGTACGCATGCGCCTCAAACAGGATCACGAAGATTCCCGAGCAAACTACCACATGTAGCCTACGTCAGGATGGTTCACGAAAACAGTACCTTTCTGGATGCAGTACGAACTTAGTGAAGGTTCATGCTTCTTCTTTCCGTTTTCATTAATTTTCTCTTCTTTCGTCAGATTGCCCTTCTTCACAACCGGCGGGCCGGTTTCCTTGTTTGACTTTTTCCAAGACTTAGCTGGGTTGTGTTACATGAGGAGATAAATAACACGATGTTTTTCATCAACCAGTTAGAGACAAAGTACAACTGTGTACTCACGAGCATGTCGACACATGCATTAGAAATTGGGACGTATGCATCAACCTGAAAGAAAACCGGAAATGCTCCCAAAATAGCTCAATTATTGCGTAGCTGTTCAGATTTACTAATTTTCTACGTTTTTTTGTGAGAGAGGAGCGTAGCGAATTAGCAGCGAAATTTCGATGTTTTCCCATGCCCTCGTTGTTTAACCATGGTTTAAAAAACGTCACTAGGCTCCTATAACTTGAAATACTTATGAAATTAGTTCAAAATTATTTAACTGACAGAACTCAACAGGTAAATTATCGAAATTCGAAATCTTAACGACTACCTGTTAGAGCTGGAGTTCCTCAGGGTAGCATTCTTGGGCCAATATTGTATAGTATTTTCACTTCGGACCACCGAAACTCAACTTATAATATTTCCACATAAGCCTAGAGCTTCCTTTTTGAAACCTAGTATGTAGTAGTCACATAGTCACTATGAACGGAGTTCCAATTTCCTGGTCAAACCAAATGAAATATCTTGGATTAGTACTAGACTAAATTAACTTTTAAAGATCACATTGTGGGCATTGAAGCCAATTGTAACAAATATATAAAATGTTTGTATTCTCTTATAAATAGGAAATCCAGACTTTGCCTGACGAATAAACTTCTAATATTTGAACAAGTTTTTAGATCGGCCATGCTTTATGCTGTGCCAATATGGTCTAGTTGTTGCACTACCAGGAAAAAAAATCACTAAAGGGTTGAGAACAAAATTCTGAAAATGTTTTTTATGTTGCCTCCATGGTACAGTACTACAGAGATACATAGAATTTCGAATGTTGAGACTTTAGAACAAATGTCCAACAAAATAATTAATAATTTCAGGCAAAAATTGTTGCAATCCTTAATTGCAGCGATTAACTCCCTTTATACTTAGATGCGATTTAGTTAATGTGTTATACTGACATGCAGTTTTAGAAAACCTGTTTACTGAAATGCCAAGGCAGGAAAAATGTAAAAACACTTAGATATATATCATAGCAATTAAATAGAGAATAAAAAAACAAAGACTTTATATTGTAATAAATTACAACATCCAAAATGGTCGATTTTTTGTAAAAATGTGAATGATTGCTCATAACACACAATTATGTACAAAAATGGTTTAAACGTACAAAAGTGAAAGCTATTCACGTGCAAATGCAATAAATGTTTAAACGATTTGATTTGACATCACATACGATTTAATCTGAAATAACAAATTTAGGTTGAGAAGCCTTACGATCTTACCCGATTTATTTGTAATATAATACGATACAAAAATACAAGTCAATTTAAATATTATGCGATGTTGACTTAATCTGTAGCAATTTAGCAGTTCGTGATGTCCGGGAAAATCCAAAAACTTTCACAAAAGTTTTCCCGGAAAATCCACCAAACCAAAATTTTTTAATTTTTGTTTCATTTATATGATACTCTACCTGAGGGCGAAATTGCACCTCATTCTGAGAACCTGCGGCCCGTTTTGCCCGATAATAATAAAAAATCCCCACACCGCCTGACCCATAGTTCCCCTACAATCATCAAGCGAAAGTTGAAGAAAACTGGCAAGGTGACTCGGGATGCTGCAAAATTAGCCAGATGTTGGAACAAACTGATCTCTACTTTATTTTTTATTGAAATTTAATTCAAAGTCAATTTTTCTTCCACGTCAACATAAACTTTAAGTAAAATGTTTTAACTTTTTTTACACGCAATATTTATGTTATTTGTGCATAGAAAATTAATTTTCGGAACAAACAAATGTTTCTGCTGTTTTTAAATATTTGTTGAAAAAAAATTCAAATTTTGTAATAATAGTTGATGTTCTACATTTTTGATGATTTTCAAAAGTATCCTTTGTGTCAATTTCAGAAAAGTTACCATTTTTGATAAACTTTGAAATAAACATAAGTTTAAAATAGTTGAAAATTTACTTTTATGCTATTAAAGTTTTTAACAGTTTTGTCATTTAAAAATGGCCGAATTCCAGCACAAACTTGGTCCAATGCCTCTAGTGAACAATTTTACGAAATTTCATAGAATTCGTAGTGGTAAAAATAAAATCGATTCGTCAGTTGGCGTAAAACTGTTCTATTACAGATTCCAAAAGGACACACCGAATCACGGAAGAGTTAGACAAATTCATTGCCAATTAAAAAAGTTCTAGCCTATCGACGAACTTTGAGATCAAATTAACCACAATGTATAGATAAGAGGCTAATGATATTCGGATTGTAGGGGAGACTGGACACACTTGATCTCCGGGATACTTTTTTTTTCCTTGATTTGTTTTCCGTCGATCTTGTTTTCCGTGCTGAGCACCAATGCTACCGACGCCAGGGAGACAGCTCCCACACCTGAACCCTACCTATCGACTCATCAACTCATGAACCGGGGACCAACGGCTTTACTTCCCTTCCGAAGGAAAGCGTGATCAGAGATGTTATGCCTCAGAACATCCCGGCGGCGCCGACTGGGATTGAACACTTCGATAAAGACATTAAAAAACCATTGTACCTTACGTAAAAAAGTCTAAGGAATCGAATGCCAGTATCCTCTTTGATGTCAAAAATCTTAAAGTGGCCCAATTCACCCGTTTTCCCCAATAAGTTGAAATTTTTGGAAATATTGATCTATAACAATCCGCAACTTCAATAAAGATATTCAAAAACCATGCTGCCTCACGTAAAAAAGTCCAAGAAATCGAATAGCGTTATCCCCTTTCATGTCAAAGATCGAAAAGTGGCCTAATTCACCCGTTTTTCCCTAAATATTGAAATTTTTCAAAATATCGATCAATAACAATCCAAAACTTCGATAAAGGCAGTCAAAACCCATGCTACCTTACGTAAAAAAGTCCAAGGAATCGAATGCCGGTAAACCCTTTAACGTCAAAGATCGAGAAGTGGCACAAATTGCCCGTTTTCCCCTATAAGTTGCATTTTTTTTTAATTTCGATCAATTACAATCCAAAACTTCGATAAAGACATTCAAAAACCAAGCTGCTTTACGTAAATAAGTACAAGAAATCGAATGCCGTTATCCCCTTTCATGTTAAAGATCGAAAAGTGGCCTAAATCACCCGTTTTCCCCTAAATATTGAAATTTTTCAAAATATCGATCAATAACAATCCAAAACTTCGATAAAGGCACTCACTCATTGCACTTTTTTTTTCATTCAGCAAGGATTGAGGTTGAATGTCACGGTTTCGGCTTTTTACTCGATGGTTGACGGCAAAGTTGCTAATGCGGTGAACAAAAACACTGACACGCATAAGTGTCCTCTATGCGTCAACGCAGCAGACGATCGGATTGGACCGTCTTTTTACCATTGTCGACTGAACTGTGTAGAATGGCTGATTCGGGTCTCTGGTCAGCTGCACATTCCTGGACATCCCGCACAAAAGGACACTAAAGTTAAGAAGAAGAGAAAGGAGATAACCAGACAGCTCGAGAGCCACTTTAAACTCTTAATAAATAGACCGAAAATCGGAGGAAGCGGCTCATCCAATAACGGAAACATGGCTCGAAGACTCCTCGCTGATCCAAAGAACTTCTCCGCCATTTTGGGAATCAGCCAGGAGTTGGTAGAAAAGCTCAGAATGATAAGTTCTTTGGCATTGTCATCCAAACATCTTAACGCCGAAAAAGTCAGACAATTGTATGCGCAGCTTGAACAGCAGATCTGGAAGCAGTTTCCATTCCTGAATAATAAAATACCGCCATCAATGCATAAATATTCACACCTACCGGAGTACATCGAAAAATTGGTAACTATAATTAAAAGATTCTTATGGCAGGAAGAAAAACTAATTTCATAACTGAACCATTTCAGCCATATCCTCTAAGTTTTGCGGATGAACAAGCCGGTGAGAGGTGCCATAAACGGTCCAAATATTTTTTTTTATATCTTTATTAAGGAGACTTTCAGCCCTGGACTGGTTCGTCTCCGGACACCCCAGAAGGGGGTATCCCAAAGGGAGAGAAGGTACAGAGTTTTTATTTTGCGGAGTTGAATCATGGTTGCGGTTCCAGAGGGGAACTTATTTTGCCTTACTGTCCTATGTTGCTGTCATCTTTTGTGTTTTCTGTTTTGTTTTGAGGACCCCAGCAGAGCCCCACCGGTAGCAGCTGCCAGGATAGACCTGGCACCCGCTACCGGCAGGGAATGCCGGGCCTACTGTCATAATGTATATGGGTTAAACCCTCTTGTAGATTCCGGCCTCCTTCGCGAAACATATCAGTTGTGCCTCTGCTACCGGGTCGTTCTGAAGGGCGTCTCGGATGTTGCCCGGGATCCCGTAAAGTTCTCGTGGTCCGTGGAAACAAGGGCAGTTTATAAGAATGTGCTCGACCGTCATTATTGTTCTGCAGGTGTCGCATCTTTGGCGGAAGTTTCTGCCACTGTTGCTCCCCACGGTCCAAATATGGCAGAACGTATCTTTCTCGGAAAACGTCACCAGAGAACAACTTGGAAGACATGATGCGCCTCTCATTGACCTGGTCAGACCCGAAACACGCTGATCAAGATGTTCCAGCAGAACGCTCACGGAAAAGAATAAAAGACGAGCTGTTTGAGCGACAGATGACATTTTACTATTCCGATCAAGATGATAGGGATAAGGCCGATGAAGACGATAGCAATG